AGAGATTACCTAAATTGAACGAACGCAAGCAAAAGGGAAATGAAGATATATATATTAGATACATAAATGGTATTCCCACCATCGCCTCCTCAAAAAACTATTAGATTTCAAAATTGATCAAATGAATATACGTTCCTTAAATAATTGCTTTGATATATTCAAAGACATCATACTTGAAAATGAGTTTGCAATTGTTGGTGTGACAGAATCATGGCTTAACCCAGAAAAGTTTGTTTCAATTCCTCAATTCAACTTGGTACGGCTAGATCGCAATACTAGAGGCGGAGGTATTTGTATTTATCTGAAGTCCTCTCTCAAATATAAAGTGTCCTGAATCCAAATTCTAACGATACTCAATCGTTCATTAATTTGCTTTCTGTTTTTCATTTGTGTCAAATTGTAGAGAATCCCACTCGTATTACTAATATATCTGAAAGTCTCATAGATGTCATCTGTATAAATAAGGAATTACTGGTAACAAGTTTTAATACTATTGATATGAATGATATTACAGACCACCTAATGGTCAGCTGCGTATCCAGCTTTCGAAATGAACAATTACCTACTGACTTAATATACTTCAGAAGTTACGAAAACTTCGATTTCACTAATTTTTATAACGACGCTGCGAATATGTAATGGGGTGATATTGTTAATTTACAAAACATGAACTCTAAAGTGAACTTTCCGCAAGTTGAATTGTAAAAAGAAATTTCTGCCTTACGTCACATACAACCTCAAGCTCATGATGCAAACCAGGGATAGGGCTCATAAAACATATTTAACTTTGAGAACACCGGCTTCAAGGAAGTATTATGTAACTCTACGGAATTACGTTAATAACGCTCTGAAACGCGAAAAAACCAGCATATATGCAATATATGCTGAACAAAAATTAAAAAAATTCTAAAGCAATTTGGAAAAATCTGTCATATTGGGGCGTGAATACAAAGTGTTCTTCACAAATCAACAGTCTACCGCAAGAACTGCGTAATCCAGAAGAAATTAATAACTTTTTTCTTAATGTTACTGGAAATTCTACAATTAACAGTGATACCTTATTATTTTTTAGTAATAACAGATTCAATATCAATGCAAGTTTCTCGTTTATGGAAATATCCAATAAGGATATCTTTGAAGCTATCAATAAAATAAAATCAAATGCTTTCGGTATCGATAATATCAATATTAAAATGATTTCATTTGTCGTTCCACATTGCATAGATGAAGTAAAACATATTTTTGAAGAGTCTCTGAGGCAAGGCATTTTTTCTGATCTTTGGAAAATTGCCAAATACCTATACTCACCTGTTTCAACGAGTTACGTCCAATAAGTATTTTACCAGCATTCTCACAAATTTTTGAAAAAATAATAACACAACAAATCAAAGTATATTTAGATACAGCTAACATACTTCCAGAAGTAGCAATCTGGATTCCGACAGAAACACGGTACCAACACTGCTCTGTTGAAGGTTATCAATGATAACCTTCTAGAGACAAATCGATGGTCTCATTTTTGGTTATGTTTTATCAAAGCAAAGCATTCGATCTGGTAAACTTCAAAATATTGCTGAGTAACTAAAATACATTGGGTTTGAATGCAGTTCTTTAAATTGGGTGAGAAGCTATCTCACAGGAAGGGCTCAACGGGTTAAACTGGATAATGATCAGTTATGCTCATTTCTTCAGGAAACTTCTTCTGGTGTACCACAAGGTACACCAGAAGGTCAATTAATGTTCTCTCTTTTCATTTTTGACTTTCCTGCCACGTTATCCCAGTGCGAAGTACATTTATATGCTGATGATCTGTCAAGTTAATCTAATAATATTTACCATGCTATCACCAGGATGAACTTAGATTTAGAAAATACACTTCTATTTTCCAAAAATCATGGCCCTCGAATAAATCCAAATAAAACAGTTGCCCTATGTTTGGGATCTGACCTACAAACAAATGAAGTTGAAACATATTTCCATCTTTTTCTTGACAATGAACCGATTGACTGGGTGAATTCAGCAAAAAATTTAGGAGTATATATCGATAACACTCTCTCGTTCAACGAGCACGTTGAACACATTTACAAAACTTGCTTTTTTAAACTGAAATCCTTATACAAGTTCAAGTTCCCGCTTTCTCCAGAAACAAAACTGAAATTAGTTCAATCTTGATTTATCCCCATATTGAGTATTGCTGCTCAGTGTATTACAACTTCTTGCCAGACTATAATAAACACAAACTTCAACGCATACAAAATGCTTGTATGAGATTTGTGTGCTGCATAAACTACCGTAATCATGTAACTACATATTTATTGAAATTAGATCAGCTGAATATTGAGTTTAGAATTCGTTATCTCATAACTGAATTCTTATATAAACTATTGGAAAGCAAAACTTCTAATTACTTGTTCAGATTAATTAGTAAGCGATCTGATAATCATTCTATCAATTTAAGAAAAGATACATTTACCATTCCATATCATGTTACCACCAAATTTGAGGGATGTTTTTCTTACTTTGGACCGAAATATCTAAATAATGTATTACCGTATATTCATTTGTCTATATAACAATTCAAAAAAACTTTGAAAATTCATTTCTTAGATGTTCAAAAATGATTGTAATCTTTTATATTATCTCCATAATAGTTTTTTTTATATTATTTTTGTGTCTATTGTAACTGTTACTTATAGTCTTACTGTATACTTATTTTTTTTTCTCTCAATTATGGGACGGGTGGAAGATAGCCTCTGGCTAACCCTTTTCCCTTCGTGTATAAAACTTGTTTTTGCACAATAAACGTTATTATTATTATTATATTCTTTTTTCGCAGTAATAGTTTGAATTTTTTCATACTATGTTGAATCGTACTTTCAGTGAATTTCATTGGACTATGAAAATATTAATACGTTTTGTTCCGAAGAGGGCGAATACCGTTTCATCTCCAGGCATGTCTTCGGATTTTTGGGATGCGTGGGGGATAATTTTCATTGACCATCTTAAAAAAAGTAAAACTATCAAGGGCAAGTATTATGAAAACTTATAGCAACATTCGAGTGGAGAAATCAAGCAAAAACGATCGCATTTGGCTAAGAAGAAGGTATTGTTTCATCAAGACAATACACCAGCTAACAAATCCATTATCACAATGACCAAAATTGATGAATTGAAGCAAGAATTGCTACCACATGCACCCTTTTCACCTGATTTAGCCCCGCCGGAATTTTTTATGCTTCCAAACTTGACAAAATGCCTCAGATTTTTCAACGATGAAGAAGTTATGTCGGCAGTTAATGGCTATTTTGACGAGCAATAATGAAAACGATATTATGTTGGAAAATAAATACATTTTCGTGTTTTCTCTCGTATCAGAGATTTGTTATTACTTAAAACGTATAATAAGAAATAATTTGGTTAGTCTTTGAAAGGCTTTACTTGTAGGAGAGGAATCAATTACCTCTTTTGACATGAACAAATCTTGAAATAATGGTTGAAAAACGGAAAANATAATAAGAAATAATTTGGTTAGTCTTTGAAAGGCTTTACTTGTAGGAGAGGAATCAATTACCTCTTTTGACATGAACAAATCTTGAAATAATGGTTGAAAAACGGAAAAATGTATTCCTAGTGTACGCTATATAGGCGAAACATTAAGACCGTTGGATATGAGAGAAAAGGAACATCGTGAAAATAAAGAGGATCAGAAATATCGGAACATATTTTAATTTGAACTTATGATCATGCAATGAAACAGAATTGAAGAAACATTGTCACCAAGACACCTCACGAGAAAATGGGAAATCTCAAAGAATCCAGAGTAAAGACACGTCTGAAGAAGATATTGCATAGCGAAATACTCGTTTCTTTTTTGTGAAACTTTGTAGGAAAAATCTCACAATGAATTGTAGATGAATTCTTTTAGCGGGTTTCAACCAAATCTGTGGAAGTGATAACCACTGCTAAGACAAGATGTTGAAAATGGAAATTTAAACCTGAATCGAATTCCGGAAAACATCCTGTATGTGTGTTCATGTTTGTCAAAGGAAATATCCTTATTTCTGATTGAAGCTTTCCTCACAATTGAATTGAATGTGTTTTGAGAACGGAGAATGAGAGTTTTCCGAAACGTCATATAAGGAAAGGTAAGTATAGAATTTTTTTCCGTTGATCATTTAATTTCTATACAGATATATGAGAACATTGTTGTAAATCATCCCCTGGAAGAAAAATGACGCCGGCCGCCGCTGGTCGCCGTGAACCGATTGTAACTTGGCCAAAATCGCGCTACACTTGACTTGCGCTTCGCGATTGTTCTAGAAGTCACGTCGCTTCGAGAGACTTCTAGCTTTTTTCCTATTGTTTTCGCGAGACTTCCATTACCATACATAAACATGCAGATCGAGGAAGTCTAGTTGAAAGTGCGGTACGAAGAGATATAATGAGGCAATAGTTAAAGTGTTTGTGTTGTAACGTCAGTCCAGCAGAGAAATGACGTTGAGTTTAATTGTACACTGTAGTCAATAATTATGAAACACATGAAGAGCAATAAGTTTATATCACTTTCAGTCAATATAGTCCAAACATGACTATCACTTCTGACAAAGGAAGATTAACTGGGAAAGTTCCATATCAAGTTAAACTCCTAACATTCAGTTTACTGGGTAAGCAAGAACTGCCTTTGAGGATTTGAGGAAGAAAATAGCGGTAGTTTCAGAAACTTTCTGAAGAAAGGGAAAAGCATCTACTGTCCGAGTTTCATTTGTATGCAGTGAAATATCTGGCCGAAATTTTCCCTCCATATTTGACTAATATGGAAAGATTTTTTATTTCAGGATATGTCAAACACAACTCGTGTATTTCTCCAAATAATATCAAAAACAATATATAAAAGATTCAGAGGATATGCTGAGAAATAGAATATTAATTTCGTGACAGATCCTTTTCATCTAACCTTATCAACTCTCAGTGTCCTGACATGGAGTAAATTAACTGTCAACTTCTCAAACATTGTTTTCATTTTATTAAAAAGGACAATTTAATAAAACTTGTTGAAACCAATTTCCGAATCGAAAGTTTACAATCTCAAATTTTTCACATAATCGCATCCAACATCTAGTCTCTTGTGATCATTAGAACTCATCATCACTCCATCAAGACGTATCTCGGTTGTTATCGTTCCGTTGAGGCCTATTCACGTCCACCCAGTAGCTGATCAGGTCTATCGGTAGTGGAAATATAATGGTGGAATTTTTCTCAGCTGATATATTGTTCAGAGTTTGTAGGTATCTCAACTAGAAACAGAAAATACAATTATCTTCTACTCATTTCAAAGAAGCAGTGGATGCTCTCGATAAACATCATCAATAATGTATATTTTAAGGGAATTGTAATGCATGTGTACCGTGTATCAAAAAATATTTGATGTCATGGGGCGATATTTTGGTGGGCCTTCATTTCTATAAGAATTCTAGAAAATCCAAAGGGAACTCTTTTTATTTGAAAGGGACGATGCAATTTGTTGATTTGAACAGCATCCGAAACGTCTCATTTTCCATGGCTCTGGCGCATAAATCAGGCAGAGACCGATGGCATGGGTTATGTTGCCTTTGAGGACCGATGTGGTTTATGGTAGGTTTTAGGTTATTGTAAAGCCTCCATGTCCTGTGAAATCAACTTCAAGATATTTCATTGGTGTATGTTCCAAAAGGATTCCGGACCTGAAAGAATAATGTGACAAATTTTGTTTTTTCAGATACTACTGACGCTGAGCAATGGTTCTTGTGTTAATTTCACGTAACTTTTAGTTTTAACCGTGCTGCTGTGGGCAGGAAGTTTCAGGCTCTTTAGTACGTGATGAATGATTTTTGAACTCTATAGATTTTATTCAATCCCTCAAGAGAAAAGAAATTTCCAAAATGAATCAGCAAGAGGCCAGAATAACATATAACACATTATTGTGAAATTATACATCACACCTCCCTTCATTCGTGACTTTGATCAAATTTCTGATAATAATTTAGACCCTAGTGGTATTGAAAGTGAAAATTTCGTAATGATGAATATGAAGTTATCACTCTTTCCATCGAAACTATGATAGTTGCCGAAATTCTACAATTTCTATGCAATACAGAAACATAATGATTTGAATGCCAAATTCTTGAAAAAGGAAGAAAAATCATCCTTCAATCCTAGAAAAATTTGCCCAGTATGAAATTTCCGTTTCAGTGAATCAAATTCATAAATCTCTATGAACTGGCCTACTTCTGAGTATTACAATTGTGTGATTAGAATCCGAAATTATCTATGCCGGTCTTGGTAACGAATTTATGACCAAACTTTGGGCCATATTACGTTACCAAAGTTGAATAATCCTGCCGCCGCTAATAACTATAAAGAGCACACGGCTAACTTGATCAATAATAGTTTAGCTCGACATTAAGCTGCACCTATATCAATTTATAGCTGAGCCCCAATGGAAATCTCGAATCGATCGCTATAATAAGGTAACAATCAATTACCTTGAAATTCATTTCATTCGAAATCGCTGGATTTGCAATGGTTCAATCAGATTTTTCGATTTCACTCTTCAAAATTCCTGAAGAATCAACCAACACTTCGTTGGTATTGTGAATGAAATCCAAGCATTCTCTTCGTTACATAATATATGTTTATTATATACTTCACAGAGCCCCTACTGGTTTTTCATTCAGTTCAATATTCCAGCAACTCTTCAGTCAGTAATTGAAATTACTATCGAACATCGTCGTTCACTATAAAAAAAAGTGTGCGTCTCAGGACGCTCCACAGAAGTGATAAATTAATCTATGTTGAACTATTTAATATCGAAATTGTTCAACTTGTTAAACTTAAAGTTTATGTATACAGTGCTTTCATTTCAAAACTTCCCACCCTAGTACTTCGTTTAGCAGGGAGAATTTGCCGTAGGCAAAAAATACGTCAATTCAGATATCGAGGGGGAAGTTTAAAACCAGTGCCAATGGTATTTTAGGTATAACCCCCTCACTCCTAGCTACCCCCACTTAATAATGTTAAAAGACACCCCCTATCTTGTAACACATCATTTCAAAGATCTTTAAAATCCTCACTCAACCCCGTTCAGAAAACTGAAGTCCTAATCAAAATTTGAGACAATGTCGATCATCTTTTTTCGACATTAACAGTATCGTGATTACAGAATGGGTTCCATAGGGTCAAACTGTCAACCAGGCTCACTATTTACCAATTTTGACAACACTTCGAGAACGAGTTTGTGAGAAACGGCCCGAGTTGTGGCAGAACAACTCGTGGATTTTGCACCATGACAACGCACCTGCCTATAACACGCTATCTGTGAAGCGGTATTTGTCTGATAAACGCACTCCAGTGCTCGAACACGCGCCGTACTCGCCAGACTTAGCACCGTGCGACTTCCTTTTTGTTTCTAAATATAAAATCTGCTTTGAAAGGGACACGATTTGAGTCAATGGAAGCGGAAAAGCAAAAAACGGCAGAGCTCCTAAAGGCCTCACCAAAGAAGACTTCCAGCACTGCTTCGATCAATGGAAAAAACATATGGAAAGGTGTGTGTCGAGGGGTGGAGAGTATATTGAAGGAGAGCATTCGAATGTAGAATAATTTTTTATAATAAAATCCTTTTTCGTAATCAGTCTCGTTATTTAATAGTCTCTCTCTCTCTATTTTAGATGGTCGTTGCTTCCTATCTTCAGGCGCATATGACCAATGCTCCTCCTGTTGGTTAACAGGAGCTTCGTAGGGGGGCGCAGCGGTCTTGCACAAAGCAATGCTGCCACCTCCTCTGATATCAAAATCATCTGCTTTCACGAAATATGAATATTCTCATTCATTTTCCAGATATATGCATGCGGAATTTTATTTGAGACACCCTGTATAGTACTGTCACCTAATTTCAAGTGACCTAAAGTATCTCCTTTCAATTTTCAAACATCTACGTCTCAATCTATGTATCAAGCTAAAAAATTTCAATTAACGCCGTAGGCAATAATACTACTAAGCGATCTTTGTAATGTAAAAATCAACAAATTACCTGTAATGCTACTGGACTTTCGTTTATAACGTCGGATGCTTCCTTGAGTGCTCTTGAAGCTTTCATTTCCCCTTCAGCGGCAATTACTTTTGCTCTCGCTTCCCTTGAAGCCTCGGCTTCTGCTGCCATTGCTCTTTGAAGTTGTTGTGGAAGGCTAACGTCTTTTCTTCAAATAAAAATCAATAGAGATAACAAAACATGACCAGTTGACGCAACATACGTAATATTCAGAATTTTTAATGGAAATCAGTTTTGTTTCTTGTCTTGCCAAAAGTATCCTTCAAAACAAATTTGAAGCTGTAAAAACACTTCCACATTTTGTACCTACTTTGAAAAGAAAAACCATCCTGGAGGAAGGAATATTCAATTCTCATCGGGTTTTAACACATTTATTGTGGGTTTTCGAAAGTAGAAAGTAATACCACAATACCTCAAAATTTCATAGATAATTTTCTAGTTTTTAGTGAAAACTTTTTTATTCAGCAATACGAATGCCAATAAGTGACCCGATGGAACATTCACGACATCTAGTAAAGAAACGTTAAAGCTTTTGGTAGATAACCACTTTCCTGGAAATCTGACTCTTGATAACAACAGACATCCCATTTTCGAGGGCGCTAAACGCCCAAAAAAGAACGATTGGGAGGTCGTCAAGAAGGTTATCACAGACCGGCAGTTGAATGGGATATCAAGTCGTTTCAGCCCTTCAAATCTCCTGGAGAGGATGGTATATTTCCAGCTCTTCTTCATAACGGACTGGAAATAAAATTGTATAGGGCTAGTCTGACGTTGAACTATATACTACCCAGTTGGTTGGCAGCAAGGGTGGTATATATACCTAAACAAAGACTCACATCCTGAATCGTTATGACCAATCGACCTCACATCCTTCCTGTTGAAAGGATTCGAGAGGTTACTAGACGGATACATCGGGAGAGTGACATTAAATGCATTCCCTTAAATGAAATGAATAAAAAACTTTTGTCTAAATGCCACTGGTATATTTTATCTATACGACCGGTTTCGGGTTTGACCCCATTATTAAGTATAAAACTGAAATCTGAATTTCGAAATATCGATTTTATTAAAATTTTCAGCTATGCTGCAAGGACAAGTATTTGAGAGACAGGATGACAACTTAAATACCAGCCTGAAAATTTTAGGGGTTGTTAACCTCTAACGAAAAAACAAAACATTCAATATTCGGATCAGACATTCTACCCAAGATTCGTCAACCTAACTAATACCGATTTAAATAATGGAGAAAGGGAATTGCTAGAGAAAAAGCCGAAATTCGCCCCCCCCCGCAGACAACAAGAACAGGAAAGACATTATAGGGGTACAAGCTGAACAAGATATCTCAAACAAAGCCAACAAACTGGATAACCCACTCCTTCACAAACAAAGACACTTTAAAGGACTTAACGGAAAAAGGAAACCACAACAAACTCATTTTTACCAAAACAGACAAAGGAAACAGCATAGTATGTCTAAAAAAAAAGAGTACTTTTCGAAAATGCAAGAAGTGGTGGATATATCAGATGTCACCGTTTTAAGAAATGATCCCACCAAAATGTATTCCCAGCAAGCTAAGAAGGCCATGGAGTAATCAAAAATGTTGTTTTTAAACAAAATAAAATTTTTGGGGATGATAATAAACTGAATTGGGGAGCTCACATAGATAATTTGATGGAAAGATGCCAGAAACCATTGAATATCATAAAAGCTCTTGCAGGAATCAAATGGGGAGCAGACCATGAAATTCTGCTGAATATTTATCGCAACTTTATTCTCTCTCGAATGGATTATGGTAGTATAGTATACTCCTCGGCCAGAACAAAACGATTGAAAACTTTGAAGAAACTTAAAAATAATCCTCTGATATTGATAACGGGATGTTTCAGAACGAGTCCTGTAATAACACTCTGCTGTGAGACTGCTTCCCCTTCTCTTGAATTTCGAAGAAATAGACTTCTTGCAAACTATGCTGTGAAAATATACTATCAACCTAACCACTCTAATTATGATATTTTCTCCAATAACAAAACCCATGATTTATTCCTACAGAAACCAACGGCAACCAGACCAACAGGTGCACGCATAAAAGAACAACGTATTATCCCAGATCTGAGAGTTTTCACGCTCGGTCTCCCGGAGTTCCCTCCATGGAAACTAGCTGATATATACTGCAATGTTTCTGAAAGTGAAATGAAAAAGTCAGAATTGAATTCACAACAACACAAACTGATCTATTACAATAACATCAGTAAATTTTCAAACTACTGCAAAATATATACTGATGGATCAAAGACCAGGTATGGGGTGGGCTGTGCATTCCTTGTAGATAAACACCTTCAAAGCTGGTCGATGCACTCAACAACCAGCGTATATACAGCAGAATTATACGCTATATACCAGTCTTTATTATTCTGTGAATTCGCACGAAACGAAACTCATTTTCTAATTTGTACCGACTCATTGAGTTCCATAAGATCATTCCAAAATAAATTTACTCTTGACCCCCTTGCAAGGATTATTCATGCCAGAATTCATATTATGAAGGAAAGCGGTAGAACTGTCAGCTTCATGTGGGTGCCTAGTCATTGTGGCATAAAGAACAACGAAGATGTGGATAAGGCAGCTAGAATGATTGCTAACTCTGAAGAATTTTAATAAAACCAAAGAAGTATCTGACTGGCAGACTCTTTGGAATGAAACTGATGCGAAACTGAAATGCTCGAAACCAAGTGTGAATAAGCGAATCTCACCACTGAAATTGAGCAGGAAAGAACAAGTTATTCTTTCGCGTCTGCGACTCGGCCATACAAAAATAACACACCTCTACTTGCTCCTAGAATAACAACAACCTCTCTGTACTACATGCCAAACAATACTAACGGTACAACATATACTTGTAGAATGTCCAGAATATGAAGAAACCAGGAGACAACATAATATAAATGGGGCAATGAAAGAAAATCTATGTGATGATAGACGAACGTTGAGCAACCTGATGGCATTTATGAAAGCCGCAAATATATCCTTATGGGCTCACCATAAGACATTTCACTGGCAGACATTTTCATGAACACTCTAGAAAACATCCGCATCCTTAATACCCCCCTTTCACAGAAACATATTGTGTTTTAATTCCGATATGTTGATGACGTACTGGTTGGTTTTGATGGTTCAAACAGACAAATTGATCAATTTTTAAATTTTCTCAATAGTCTGCATAACAAAATTAAGTTTACAGTAGAAATCTAACAAAACAAGGTGCTAAACTTCTCAGATTTGAATATTTCAAGAGTTAATAATGGTTTTCAATTCAATATCTACCGGAAAAACACGTTCACAGATTGTACAATTCCCTTTGACTCTTTCAGTCCACTTTCACATAAGTTAGCCGCGTTTAGGTCAATGATACACAGAGCTTTCGCAATCCCTTTACCGGAATAGAATTTCCAAGATAAAATAAAAATAATTAAGCAAAGTGAACAATCAGGTACCAATTTCCCTGATAGAAAAGACCATATCAGGTAAAACTCACAAAACACTTATGAGCAAATTATACCCAAACTGCCGAAAACACAATATAGTCAAGTACAGTAGCATCAATTACTTAGGTAAACTTTCAGAAAATATTCAAAATTATTTCTCTAAATACAAAATTTCAACAGCTTTCACAAGTAATAATAATTTAGGTAGAACCCTGTTTAATGCAAAACCCAAACGGGATGGAATGAAAAAATCAGGTAGGTATATATAGAATAGAGTGTGGCGCATGCTCTGCAGTATGTACAAGCCAAACCGGTAGAAATTTTGAAATAAAACGGCGTGAACACGTCTGTTTGGACAAAAAATCTGCAATGTACGAACATCATCAAGAATGAAGATAACCTCAAAATCCTATATATGTAATAAAGGGAGAAAAATGAATTTGTTGAAAGCCATGGAAAGTAACAAATCAATTAAAAACCAGAAACATATACCCCTAAACGAGCAACTTGATTTATATATGTCTCCTCTCTTGAATTTATAAGTTTAACAACCCCTAGAATTTTCAGGGTGGTATTTAAGTTGGCATCCTGTCCCTCAAATACCTGTCTTTGTAGCATACCTGAAAATTCTAATAAAATCGATATTTCGAAATTCAGATTTCAGTTTTATACTTGATAACGGGGTCAAACCCGAAACCGGTCGTATAAATAAAATTTACCAGTGGTATTTAGACAAAAATTTTTTATTAATTTCATAAGTGATCATGAATTACCATAAAGTAAACAAGTCATCAATCACACATAAATACATCCCCCCTGAATAACCACTAGTACGCTTATCAAACCGGCAAATCGACAGATTTAGCATTAAACAGCCTTGTAGAGAAATTGTCCCAATCCCTTGACAACAAGGAGATTGCGGTTGCTGTATTTCTTCATATTGAAGGAGCATTTGCACTACCTGAATCTATAGGATCATCACTTGCTAGGAGAGGTATATAATCGACCATAACTGGCTGGATCTATACCATGCTGGTAAACAGAACTGCAACTAAGACTCTTCAAGGCAAGGCCATCAGGTTCAGGGTCATCAGAAGCTCCCCTTAAGATGGGGTACTATCTCCCCTTCTATGATCGCTCCTGATGGATAGTCTGCATGATGACCCTCGACAGAAGAATAGTGGATCTACAAGCTTATGCTTTTGGACCTTGCCCTGTCATGTTGGCAAGGTCCACGTCGGGAAAGGTAAGTAATTCCCTCCAAAGCACGATGGACGTTGTTCACGGTTAGTGACTGAATGGAACACTCACTTGGAAAAAGTTTAGCATGAAGCCAGACTGTCTCTATGGACATGTCGAAGGATTTGTGGTAGATCATGAGGTTTAGGTCCCAGACAAATACATTGGATTTATGTTATGATTGTCAGACCAATGATCACTTATGGTGCAATTGCTTGGTGGCCGAAGGCTTTACAGAAAACGGCCCAAGCGAAGCTCTCTGGCTTACAGAGACAGGCTTGTCTGATCATCAGTGGTGCCATCGATACCAAACCGTCAGCGGCCATTGAGATCCTTCTAGATCTACCTCCTCCTACATATAGACTTATGCATATTGCCAATTGCACAAATCAATTTAATGTAGAGTGCAACAGACTATGGTTGACACTGGAATACACAGCATTCTGGAAATGAGCATTTTAGAGAAATCAAGTCACGATCAACGGAAACAACGGGAATAACTCTAGCATTAACTTAAGCACTCAAGTTCACATTCTTTGATTCACTACTCCTTATATAAAAAGAAATATGTACTCTACACTTAGTCTGCTGACTATCTGCAAGACTTTTGTATCCCCTCTTCTATTTGATCATGCGGGTGTGTACTTACATTTCTACTCTCTCAACTTTCACTCCCCATGGATCTGTTGCAATATCTAATGATGTTTGCATGGCATGCGATATCGCCTCTCTATCAGACAAGATCTCAGCGAGACTGCGGGTTCCTAAGATATTTCTCAATGTAGTCATAGCTAGTAGTCTGGTGGAGTTACTGCAATCACAAACAGAAAAACTTCCGAAATTTCATTCAAGATTGTAATGTAATAAAATTGTCTGAAATATTTTTAGAGATATATTCCAGTAATGTATTGCTGTAGGTAGGTACACCATTAAATGCAATCCTTAATCATTATCCAATAAAGAACTGCTACAAAATTATATAATTTTCAGTCATCTGGTTGTTCTTATGATGCACTGTTAGTTTTAATCTTCTTCTTTGAAGATGATCACTTGGTGATCGAAACACGTGTCGAGGTGTTAAAAATAACGATTTGGTGTTGGGAAAAAACTCTAGTAATATTCATCTGGTTATTGAATAGAACTGGCCGATACTTAATGAAAATCCATATTGAAAAACTAATCAATACAGTTTATTTTATGATTTTCACTATATTGATTAGTTTTTTTTTCATCTGGTTGTTGCCCTATTATTGTTTAAAACTTGTTCATGTTCTCAATACTTTGAACAGTCTCTATTCAAAGTTAAAAATTGCTGTGAATGAAGAAACTAGTAGAAACTATTCATTATAGGAGAAAATATGAAGACGAAGATTAATAAAATCAATGTATACTATGAGGATGTGAATAATTTTTTAGAAATTGTATATTTCTTGAGAGACAAGATTGAGGAGCCCGAATGGGTATGAAAGTGGAAATAATATCAAGAAACCTAATTGAATTTCACAAAAATAACATGAATACATCAATAAATGAGAATGAAAATCATAACAATATTGAGACAACAGCACTAGAAAATGTGTTTTACATATAGAACATGAAACAAAAGAAAATTCAGTTGAAATCACACATATTGGAAAAATGAGAAACAATAAATATCCAGTTACAAAAACTAAATGAAGAACATAATGAAACAGAAACTATTATAAAAAAATATCAGGACAGTCAATAACATAAAAATTAAATCTGTAACAGAATCCAACATGTTTGATGAGAGTCATTCTACAAGTCGTGGGCTTAGGTTCTGGGTTAAGTTAGATTAGGTTAGGTTGCTTAGGTTAGGTTAGGTTAAGTTAGGTTAGGTTAAGTTAAGTTAGGTTAGGTTAAGTTAGGTAAGGTTAAGTTAGGTTAGGTTAGGTTGACTAGGAGCAAAGACAAGTATAGAACAATATGTCTCCCAGACACAATCGGAAAAATGTACGAACATCTCATCAAGGCGAGATTGGAAACCATGCTGGACGAGGCTAGGGGTACTTGCTCAAACCAGTTCGGCTTCAGGTCAGAAAAATCCACGGTCTCTGCCGCGAAACAGGCACTGGACAAAATAAGATTCAGTGAAAAAAAATGGAACGCTATTTTCGCGGTAGACATTAAGAACGCTTTCAACACTGCGAAGTGGGGAAAAATTATAGAGAGAATTAGACGCCTCAATATTAGCAGATACCTCATAAATACAATCCAGGCATACCTGTCAGACCACAGCCTGGAAAGTGGACAGCACAAGCAAGAAATGACGCAGGGGATTCCACAGGGATCGATCGTCGCCCCCACCCTGTGGAATATCCTGTACGATGTGGTCTTGCTACTTGAGTTCCCAACAGACTGCCAGAGACAAGCCTACGCTGACGACCTAGCGCTGACCATCAGCGCAAATACAAAGGAATAGATGATGTAGAGGGCTACCCTAGTAATGGAACAGGTGAGACGAAGGAAAGGTGAAAGTGGCCTAGAAGTCGCCATAGAAAAAACAGAGGTCATCATCATCAAAGGTTCGAGGAAGAGAGAAGGAGTGACCTTCGTCATGGGGGAAACCATAGTCACCCCAAAGAAATACATGAAATACTCAGGCATATGGATAAATGACAAAACCATTTTTAATGAACACATTAAAAGGACGTGCGAGAAGCAGACAGGCAAGTGACTTACTGCCAAACATAAGGGACCCAGGACCAAATAAAAGAAAGGTGTTATATGGAGTGGTCCAATCCATCCTGCTGTATGCTGCGCCAGTTTGGGCACGGATGATGGACGTGAACAAATATAGAAACATGGTTACAGCGACGCAAAGGAGGATGCTAATCAGAGTGGCGTCCTCATATAGAACAGTTTCAGCAGAAGCTATAGAGGTTATACCGGGAACACCACCAATTGATCTACTGGTTAGGGAAAGAGTACGCCTGGACAATTTCGAATGAGTCACCGAGGCAGACAAAATTAGAGAAAGAGAAACTACTGTAAACAAATGGCAGGACAGATGGGAGAGGAACCATTCAACTGCCCAATGGACCAAATGCCTCATATCACATATTAGATCGTGGTTGACATGCGACTTCAAAACTTTGAACTATTATGTCACGCAGGCGCTGACTGGACATGGGTCCTTCAGAACGTACACCTTGAGGATCGAAAAATCTAGAAACGATCTGTGTATATACTGCAGGGAAAGGAACGATCCGAAGCACACAGTCTTCGAGTGCGACAGGTGGCACGTCCAGAGAATGGGCTTAGAGACTTATTTCGGAGCCCAGATAACACCAGAAAACCTATTGGAGACGATGGTAAGAAGCCACAGATCATGGGCCGAAGGCGCCAGGTATATCAGAGAGGTAATGGAAAACAAAGAGAGGAAAGAAAGAGAAAGACAAGCTCGCAACCTAGGGAATCAGAGATGATAAATAGAAAGCAAACAAAGATCAAAATATAAACCGCCCGCACCTGTAATATCCTACTGGATAGCTCCGGGTGCGGGAGAGGGTTTGGGGTGGTTTCAGCCGGTAGGAGTCCGGCACTACTGGAAAGCCATGGATACCGAGCGGCCAGTGTCCATGAGGATTTCCACCCCACCAAAAAAAAAGGTTAGGTTAGGTTAGGTTGATAGCACCCGGGCATTTCGATTTGAGTGTTGCATGGGACTATTTAAGAGGCGTACAATACGATAGCGATAACTGCTTTCCAGATAAGTTCTTCGTTTTCGAAATACAATCTTGGTGAAATGTCGAATTTTTACGATTTAAGATCCGAAGCGTATTGCAAAATATTCCTGAGAGTCCAATTAGTCGGAAAAAGTGTTTTTCTGGGTTTTTCGGAGTCCAAAATTTTTCACTCCCCAGGTGGGTTGGGGTGGGTTTCGGGATAGACGAGAGTGGGGTGACTTAGGTTAGGCTAATTTGGGGTGGCAGGGACAAGGTTAGTTAGATTGGTGACTTGTTGGGTTAGGTTCGACGACGAGAAATTTAAGAAAAAAATTATCGTTTTCATTGGAAAAATGTAGGTTATTCTTCAAAAATGTGATTATTTAGGATTTCGAAGGAAAATTTATGAAAAAAACACTTTTCATCATCATACAGAAAGTGCGGCGTTTCGGCGAAAGCAAAAATTATAATAAAATCATAATTTTCATTCAACGAAATCACACATGACAAGAGAAAACGTCGTTTTCCGTTATAAAAAGTGATTGTATTATATTCATTATTTTCATTATACAGAAAGGGCAGAACATTCGTTTCGGGTTGTTTTCAATAGCGAAAATTTTTATAAAACTGTAATTTTCATTCAACAAAAGCACAAATGACAAGAAAAGACATCGTTTTCTATCATATAAAGTGATTGTATCATTTTCATTATTTCTATTATACAGAAAGTGCAGAAAATGCATTACGGGTTTTGTTTTCAATAGCAAAAATTTTAATAATATCGTAATTTTTATTGAAAAGAAGCACAAATGACAAAAATAAACGTCGTTTCCCATCACAAAAAAGTGATTGTATTATAATCATCATTTTAATTATAGATAAAGTGCAGAAAATGCGTTACGGGTTGTTTTCCATAGCAAAAATTCTAATAAAATTGTTATTTTCATTCAACTAAAGCACAAATGACAAGAAAAAACGTCGTTTCCCATCATCAAGGGATTGTGATTGACTCAAGTAATATTCATAACAGAGAAATTCATATTCAAACAGCATCGCATGAAAGATTTACTTATGAGCCGTGTTTAGTATTTGGGATAGATAATAATTTGATTCCTACTTTTGAAATCTATCTTTACCTAACATTTGTAGTTTTTGTAGAAAAAAATTTCACCTGACATGTGTTCCTTGATATTTAACACATTTCGTTCCCACTTCTTACCTGTAATTTGAAACTTTCACCACAGCATTCAAAGGATCCTGGATTCTGTAGTAAACCGCAGCATCTACTGTCACCGTTACTGAATCTTTCGTGAGAGCCTGTAAATATAAGAACTTTCATATAACAATAAAATAAACAATAATAAAATAAATATCTCACAAAATTTTTGAACATTCGACTACCATATACCCACCTCAAAATTGTCTTGAGGTTATAACATAATCATTATCATAATCATTTCATCATTAAATATTCCTTATAAAAATCTCCAGGAAAATGAAATAATCTCTCCAAAAAATTAGAATATACGTATTCCCTCAATTCGTAGTCCTCTGAAAACTGCTCGAAGAAGAATAGATATAGTAAAAAACGATTTGTATTATTTCAAAATCCAATAAATGATCAGATTTTTCGAATACAACTGTTTTTCCAATCAGGAATAATTTCACAAGCCACTGTCTAGAGAGCTGCAGAATTTAACACCTCTCTCTTCATATTTATTCCTCCCTCCCTTTCTATATCCCATTTCTTACTTTCTTTTTCTCTATTCCTCTCTTCTTTTCCTCGAAATATTTTTTACCTTCTGAAGTTGAGAAAAAAATCCAGTTAAATAATTCAATCAACAATGTATTTCGAAACCATAAAAGTTCAACTGATAAATAAAACTTTTGAAATATAGTCAGTGAGCATACTTGAAGACTGGCTATAAATCAAATCATCTAAAAGAACAATTCGTTCAGGCCAGTCTCATCTCTCTACACTGTAGGTTGATGTACTGACACCTATCAGAAAACAACTACATCCCTGGCTAATACCACGAAGGGCGTTGGATTATATCCGACAGGTGTCAGTGCAGAATTCTTCACTGAAGTTATTCCTCAATATATTTCTAATTATTAAAACACACTTGCAGACCGGTTTCGGGCTGTTTGGCCACTCGTCAGTGCAAGGTTGTGTCTATCATCAAAATAAAGTCGATGATTTCCGATAATTGAAAATCGAATTCCTTTAGTGTATCATTCCTTGAACTTGGCTGAAACGGACAAAATGCATCAGATTCGTCATCGCTCCATCTACCTGTGAACGAGGTAACCAACCGCATATCCGAAATTTGGTTCACATAAACTCCACAAACAATTTTACAGTGTCTGATACCAAACATTATGGACTATATAAAATTCGTTGGATAATTTTTTGGAATTGATTGCTTCTTTCTTAGAAAGATTTTTCCTTTTTTTGTATAGAGATGGAGAAGTAGAAATCCACAACCTTTCTTTTCAAAAAATTGATCTCTCCTGAAAATATACTCCTTACAATTCGAATAATGGTATTCAAATCAACATTGTTTTTTGCCACATTCACCTTCTTAGGGAAAATATGAAGCTGGATTCATTCAGCCTCAAATTCTACATCACCCTAAGGTAAATTATTTCAGTCAGTTAGTAGCCGGTCGGTTCGACAAGGATACTTTGTTCACGCACTGAAATCAACCGCCGTGTTGGTCGGTGGTTCAAGCCCCAACCTGTAGTCGCGATTTTCACTTGCTATCGTCCAACCCGTGTTAGGAATCACACGTTGAAAGGTAAGACCTCGTTAGTCTGCACCTCGCACAAGTTTCGACTTCTGAAGGTTGTCGTTCGTAGGGGTGCGACGGAAACGGTTAACGGTTAACGGAAAAACAGATTTTGAACAGACAGATTTTTTAAACAGATCATCAGATATAAAAAGTTTCGTTATTGCCGATGTACATTGACAGAAGATGACATTCAAAAGGAAAAAAAGGGTGTGCTGTCGTGGGCAATAGATCGTAAATGTAAAAAAAGCGTTATAAACATATTAGTCTTTGGGGATTACCAGCGGTGATGGTAAAGGTATCCGAAAGAGAACCATCGATGGCTACTTGTAAAGAACTTGATTTCTAACAAACTAACAGTATCAGTCAAATGTTGTTTTTGTTACAAGTGTTCATAGTTGAATAATTCAGTTTCTTGCCAACGTTTCGGACTATATTAAATCCAACCGATAGTTTGGAAAAAACGAAATGGTTCATCTATGAAAATTTTTGATCCCTTTCCCAACAAAAACGACATTTGGTAAATTAGTTGGATCACCAAACCCCTCGCACCCAATGATGAAGTTAGTCTATTGAAAACACTTTCCCAACACTAGACCAAAAATTAGCGTCTCTCGTCGCGCGTTTCGCTAACCAAGTTAGCGTCCTGAGGAGATCCTCATGATCTCATAATGATCTCCTGAAAAACAATGGCTTGAAAAGTGTTATAAGGACTCCGCTCTATCAAAAACAATCATTAGACGTTAGTTTGCTGACTTCAAACGTGGTCATAAAGACCCCGATAATGCAGAACGCAAAGGACGTCCAAATGAGGCAGTAACAACAGAAAACTTAAAAAAAATCCACAAAATCGTTTTGAATGATCGAGTGGTGAAGTTGCGTGAGTTATCTGACTTTGTAAAGAACGTTTCAGCTTTATATTGCATGGGCACTTGACTATGAGAAAGCTCTGTTCAAAGTGGGTGCCGCGCGATCTCACTATTGACCAAAAATAAGAACGTCTTGATGATTCTGAGCAGTGTTTGGCCAGGTTCAAACATGGCAAACCGGAATTTTTTGTCGATATGTGACAATGGATGAAACATGGACCCATTACTTCACTCCGGAATCAAAACGATCGTCATCTGAGTGGAGAGCAACTGGTAAACCTCGTCCAAAGCGCCTGAAAGCACAACAATCAGCTAGAAAGGTTATGGTCTCGGTATTTTGGGATATGCATGGTGTAATATCATCAACTATCTTGAGAAGGGGGAAACCATCAACAGTAAATATTATATAGCGTTATTGGGGCGTTTGAAGGTCGAAATTGCGGAAAAATGACCCCATTTGAAGAAATATGAAGTGCTTCTTCATCAATACAATGCACAGTATTACAAATCAATGAAAACGATGTCAAAATTGCCTAGAATGGGCTTCAAATTGCTCCCGCATATAACATATTCGACAGATTTGGCTACCAGTGACTACTGGCTGTTCGCAGACCTCAAAAAATATCCACCGGTAAGAAATTCCACTCGAATGAGGTTATTGCTGAAACTAAGGCCTATTTTGGGGCAAAAGATAAATTGTACTATATAGGTATTGAAATGTTAGAGCGGCGCTGGAATAATTGTGTAGCTCTCGATGCAGATTACGTTAAAAAACGTGTTTCTTTTTTCTTAGACCCGGGACTTTTTAGCCTAGATGTTAATTCACTATTACTATTGGATCAAAACTTTCATACTCACCTCCTGTGGAGGTACATCAAACGATATCGTTCGTAGGTCAACTTTGCAGTAGCTATCCAGACATGGCAAAACGAAGAAAATCCCTGGCCCTCTGGCACCTCCGGAACGTAATCTGCCTAATCGAAATATCACTGCTCTCTCATACTCTTGAACCACCTTGAAAATATAGAATATGTCAATTATGTGTGCTATGTATTTCATCAGTTCGGACTTTCATTGTCTAATATAATATAAATTGATTTGATAACCCTGAAAAAAAATTAAAAAATTAACCAAAAATAACAATTTTATCAAACAAAAAACTGAAATTACAATGAAATAACATACAACAACAACCAAATAAATAAAAATTGAAATAAAAATAAAAGCTGAAAAAATTGAAAAAATTAAAAATATTATGAAAATGGGAAAGTTGAAAATCAAAAGATTTCAAACCAAGTTATGTCACAACGTTTCGATTGTTAGTATCCACAACCGTCTTCGAGTGATAACTGGACTTATTCCTCCGAGATCTGACTATTTATAGGTCATTCGACTTATCCCCTCTTACCTCTTTCCGCTTCATTGGTTTTGGCGGGAGATGACCGTTCGGCGGGAGATGACCATTTGGCGGGAGTTGGTCGTTTTTCGCTTGATTAGGTTTCCATATGTTACATATCTCTACGCTAGCTTGACTAAATGTGTTGTTGGACAACATATACACGGCTTCTTTGAATTTTCTCCTAAACCAGTGTTTCTCTTTGTGGATGATTAACAATCGAAACGTTGTGACATAACTTGGTTTGAAATCTTTTAATTTTTATTTTTTCATTTTTTGTTAATGATATTTTTGATTTTTTTCAATTTTCCCAGCTTTCATTAATATTTCAATTTTTATTTGTTTGGTTGTTGTTGTATGTTATTTCTTTGTAATTTCAGTTTTTGTTTAATAAAATTGTTATTTTCGTAATCTTTTTTACTTTTTCAGGGTCCATTAGACAATGGAAGTACGAACTGATGGAATACACCACGAAACATTGCCAACCACCTTCAAACATATACGTGCTATGTTATTTTTTCAATAAGTTTCACAATCAAATTTTAATACTGTTGAAAGTTGGTGTATGTTCAATGGTCATACAATTAGGTTGTTTCGAAATTTTTAGACATTTTTATGAGTCTAATTTAAACCGTTATATCTCATTGATAACTCATTCAATTCAATGGAAATGAGCGCTATATGAATCACTGCATTTTTGCCAATGTAACACAAGTAGATTGATTTCATTAATATAAATGAAATATCTTCTGCAACTTCAAACATTGTTTCAAAACCAATTCATTTGGAAAAACGTTCTCAGAAAGTTCATTCCACATAAATGCAGTTCTCCAAATGAAAGACTTCTTGAACAGTGAGTTGAACCTCAAAACGATGAGCAGTCACAGTCCGTCGCGTTTTTCACTTTAGGTGAAATCAAATGTGCCAAGTCACTTGAACACGCCCCCTGAAAATATCTATGAAAGAGAGACAAATCTCCAATTTTTCTTCAATGTTCCAGGCTATCACGGTTGCAGGTGATGTTCCTGTCTCCAAAAGCAGGCGGATGGCTCTTTTCTGGATGGCATCCAGCAGCTTCAGGATATGCTCAGTGGCGGAGCTACATATATGGGAACAATACTCCAAAGAAAGCTTCATCTGAGCTTCATAAAGCATCAAAAGTCGCTGAGGTGTGTATAGTTTTCTAGTTTGGAACAGTATTCCAAGCTTTTGAGAAGCAGCCTTTGCAATTCTAAAGACTTGATTGTACCAGACATATTGGCGTCCATTGCAACCCCCAACAAACTTATTGAAGCAGAAAGAGGAATTGTCTGTGCCGACATTATTACTTTCCAGTTCGGAAGTATTTATCTTTCTCGAGAAAACTAGTCATTACAAATATTTGACAAACAGGAAATCTTGCTGGTAAATTTCCTACAGATTCTTCAAGTGTTACATGTGTTCTTACATTTGAAATAGTTTAGGTAAGTAATGAATTGGAGGACATGGACCATTTTGTCGTAGTTTTAAAAACGAAGGTACTTTATTTCTGAACGAATTTAATATTTTTTGCTCTGTCCTGATGGTTATATTATTGTACTAGAATGTAATAGAAAGCAATGTGACTTTGAATTTAATAAGATTCTAGTAAGCGTAGAAGAGGCCTACACAATTTCTCAAAATATCAACTTTTCCTTAGAGTTCATTATCTAGAGAAAAAAATCGTATCAAAAATAAAGTGGCAATTTCGAGAAAAAGATAAGCTGAAAATGAATATAGAGTATCTACGGCTTTGCACATATTCACTTACTTTAAAACACCAAAACAGGGAAAATGGTAAGGTAACGATCATGAGTATTACTGATCCAACAGTCGCTACTATTTCCACGCAGGACATTATGTTCGGTTTCGCTGAAAAAAAAAACGGAATTGATGACAAAAATGTCGGTTAAAGAATTAAAACTGCATTATTAAAGAGGCCATTAGGGCAGTCAACTCTAACAAAAACCTTCCGTTCACAGAGATTCACCAATGTTTCTCACGATGTCAAACATGTGGCTAACCATAACATCATTTGTATCACTCATTCCAGTAAAACTATTAACGACTATCAATCTAAATAAACTGAGATATTTCCGAGTTTTCCAGCGCTGGAATACACAAACTGTTTCATACAATGTTGATTTTGGGATGATGATTTTCTCACGCAGCGGTCCCATCTGTTGGTTTCGTGACATGTCAACTGTGGATATGAATTTTGAAGCAAGCACAACCTCAATCAAATTATGTTGTCGTAAACATGAATCAATTTGTTCTGAACAAACAAGAAAGATTTTTAGAATAATTAAAAATGTACATTTGAAGCGAAAAAAAATTCGAAAGGAACGTTTTAGAAAACTATGATAGTGAAATTGTTTCATTTTCATCTTAGAATAATGTTGAGAGTATTGTTATTCATTCGGTCGTTTCAAAAAGTTTTGTCCGTTTTAATGAGGCTTCTTCAAACTGAATTAGTGCACTTTTGCCAACGTAACATGAGTCGATTACCTCCATCAGTATTAAAATCATGTACTCGGAATTCGAGGAAGTCCGTTTTCTCCTGGTCATCATTGGCGAAGGCCCTGCCGGTGAGAAAGTTACCGAAGTGCTTGAAAAAATAGTAGTCTTTTGACGAGAGGTCCCGAGATTCTGTTAGGTGAGGCAAAACTTCGACGCTTAATCCGTTCAATTTTCGGATAGTGGTTTGTGAAACGCGCAAACGGGAGTTGTTGTGAAGCAGGATCGGACCTCTTCTATTGACCAGTGCCGGCTGCTGCTGTCGACGAAATTTTCGGTAGGTACAGGGTTATTCACTATAAATTACCCACCTCTTATCATCGTTATTATTGCCTACAGAAAAAAAAGTTTAATGTAAAAGTTGTGTGCTTATGACTAAATTTTGATAAAATGTTATCAAAAATGCAGAGGCCTGCAGATTTCAGGGGATACAAATTTTTTAATATTTTTTTCAAATGGGACACCCAGTGTATTATTGAATTTTTGGAATGGTCTTTTTTCTCTGATTTCAAAAATATACCATATGTTACCCCTATCTTATAACGTTTTTGAGTTAACAGAGGTGAGGAAGAAAAATTTCAAATATTGAAAAATAGAAAACAAAAAATTTATTTAGGAAATTTAAATAACATGATAAGTCATAACAGATGTTCAATATGCCCACCATTATTGTCAATGCGAAATTGATAATGTCTTCTTATATTTATGAGTGCATCGGAAATTGCGTCATTATTGACATTCATATTCATTATTTCACGTCGAATCAAATATGAATCCATAGCGGTCGAGTCTGAACTGTTAGGTGGCCATTTAATGCTTCCATTATTTCCGATCCATATTGGAAATACATTATTCAAATTTTTTTGAACGGGTAGATAAGGGGTTGCCCCATCTTGCATCAAAATCATATTGGCAAGCTCGACTTCCGAAAATTTTTGCATGAGAATATTTTCTACTTCTGGTATAAGTATTTCTTGATAGGTAACTCCTGTCAATATATAATCATGAAATATTGGGCCAACAATTTTATTTATATAAATTCCGCACCAAATGCTAACAGTTTTTCTTCCTGTTTTCTTTATTTGTTCAAACAATCGTTTTCTGTTGTCATTTCTTTCCCACGACCTTCGATTTTTCCTACTGAAAACTCCTGCTGTGGAAAAAGATGACTCAAGGTACCTTATAAGTG